AAAAAAAAAAAAAAAAAACTTTCCTTCATTTTGAATGATATGTTCACTAATTTGCCCCTTTGCCTTTTCTAGACTCACAATCTAGAAAGGGTAGAAGTATGAAATGGGACAAGCCAAATCAAGGATATAGTACTTAAGAGATCACAGAAATTTCAAAGAAATGTCAATTTGTCAAATTTACAGAATATCTTATCTAGACTAGTGGATCCTTTTAAGCATCTGAAAAGAGTGGTTGTGAGGAAAAAGAGGTTGAAATGAGGAAAGACTAGGCAGAACAGTTATAACTCATTACACTAAGAAAGAGAACCAGAGGAATTCTTTGTATGTTTTAGTATTGACAACAGCATAAGCAGAATGATCCTTCTTCTGACCAAGAACTTCTTTTATCCTTGACAAACAGATTCATCCTTGTCACTCGTTTCTCTGGAATAGCTAAGTGTCTCACACTTCTGATCATTATCTAAGCTCATAACAGAAAGATATATACCCAAGATAGCAAAGAGATAACACTTGAGATTAAACTCCAGGTCTCCTCATGTTCAAAGGCTGTGAAATAAAAACAAAATTCTCTTCTTTACGTTAAAATTCCTTGAAGATTAGGGGTGCCTGGGTGGCTCGGCTGGTTAAGTGCCTGACTCTCGATTTCAGCTCAGGTCATGATCTCTGGTTCGTGATGGAGCTGAGTCCACAGGGGTTCGGCACTGGGCATGGAACCTGCTGAAGATTCTTTCTCTCTCTCCCCTTACCCCCCTCTCTCAAGTAAAATACAGTAAGATAAAATAAAATAAAGTAATAACATTCAATAATTAAAATTAAAAATATAAATATAAACAGATCAAGTCCCTCCCCTGCTGAAACCTCTCAATGCTGTCTTCTCAAACCTGGGATGAAATCCCAAGTTCTCACCGTAGACTATGAGGCTACAAATTAGCCTCTGCTGCCTCTCCGATGCCATCTTCTACTATTCGACCCCTAGGCATTGCAGTCCAGCCTTACACAACTTCTCGATGTTCCTCAAATATCCAGACTGTTTTCCTCCTAAAGATCTTTATATTTGCTGTTCCAGTTTTCTGTAAGCTCTTTCTCTAGATTTTCCCTTGGATCTTTGCATTGTTTACGCCTTCATTTTTTTCTATTGCAAAAGCAACGTTCTCACCAAATCCTGAACACACAGGAAAACGACATTTGCCTCACCTACTGCAAGGGAGACTGTGAAAAGTGACAAGAGTTTTAGCCACCTGAACACTGGCTAAAGTCTAGGCGAGATCCCTAAAACATTCTGCATAATCTTCCAAGCTCTCTCTTCCCCCACACCCAAAGCTAGAAGCAAAGAATTTCCAGTTGTTGAGGTCACAGAGTAGAAAGAATCTGGGTTCCCTAGCCATTGCTTGAAAAGAAGGCATTCTAGGGGCGCCTGGGTGGCTCGGCCGATTAAGCATCTGACTTCGGCGGCTCAGGTCATGATCTTGTCGTTTGTGAGTTCCAGCCCCATGTCGGGCTCTGTGCTGACAGCTCAGAGCCTGGAGTCAGCTTCGGATTCTGTGTCTCCTCTCTCTGCTCCTCCCCCACTCACATTCTCTTTCTCAAAAATAAACATTAAAAAAAAAAAAAGGCATCCTGGAGAGCTGTATCAGACTTTGTGTGGGTGAGAAACAAATTTTTATTCCATAAGCTACTGAGATTTTGAGGCCAGTGATTACAACAGCTAGCATTAATTACCTTGGCAATACCTTACTCAAGTGAAGACTCTTTAGAGAAGCCTTCTCCAACCATTCAGTCTAAAAAAGCCACTTACCTCTCAATTTAACCTCTAATCTCCAACCTTATTTTTTCTTTTGTGATGAGAACTTTAAACATAGACTCTCTTACTAACTTCCAAATATACTATACGGTAGTATTAACTATAGACATCATGCTACATATTACGTCGTATAACGTATTTATTTTGTAACTAGGAATTTGTACCTTTTGACCGCCTTCACCTATTTCACCCACCCTGCTACCCCCCAGTCTCTGCATCTGTCCTCTGTATCTAGTTCAGTTTTTGTTGGTTTTTTTTCTTTGTTTTTTTTTTTGTTTTTTTTTTTTTACAGATTCCACATATAAGTGAGTTCATGTGGTATTTGTCCTTCTAAGTCTGTTTTCAACTTTACGTGTTTGTGCGTATCTCTCCCATCAAAATGTAAGCTCCAGGAAGGCAGGGATTTTATCATACTCACTACTGTGTTCCAGGATCTAGAACCCGTAGCCGGCTCATCATTACTACCATAGGTACTAATGGTGGGGAGCTTGTAATGTGCCAGCTGGTAGTCTCAGCACTTCAGAAGCAATAATGAATACCGGATGAATGATGCAATGACCACAAACGGTGCTGTGGGGTAAACCATGTTAACCTGGAAGCCCAACCGGGGTGCCTGGCTGGCTCGGTTGGTAGAGCACGTGGCTTCTGATCTCGGGGGTTAGAAGTTTGAGCCTCATGTTGAGTGCAGAGACTACTTAAAAAAAAAAAGATGGGAGCCCAACTAAACAGGCTGTAAATAAGAGTTGTCATTAACCTGGAGCCCCACGTGTGTAAGTTCAAAACGTCCTCCTTGAAGATGTGCCTCCACTTTCAAGCTGTCCTACGTCTCAACACCCTCTTCTCGAAAAGCTCTCGGAAGACCGGAGATGAGCAGTACCATTTATCGTACCATTTGCGCCCAAATCATTCGACATACATGCCCATGTAGAGGAAGCCCTGGCTTGAAAGTAAATGTGAGGGAGAGAGCAAGAAGCAGCACCTGCCCGAGCAAGAACTACTCGCACTGTTGAACCGGACGGACGGCGTTCAGTGCCAGTGCCGGCCGTGTCTGAGGCAGCAGGACGCAGCGGGAAGCGGCTGAAGTTCAAGTTTTCCCAATTTTACAGGGAAGAAAGCAATCCACCTGAGGGGAGACTTCCAACAAATGTGCCAACCGTTGTTTAAAAACAAGCACAGGGGCGCGTGGGTGGCTCAAGTTAGTTAAGCCTCCAACTTTGGCTCAGGTCACGATCTCATGGTTCGTGGGTTCGAGCCCCACATCAGGCTCTGTGCTGACAGCTCAGAGCCTGCATCAGATTCTGTGTGTGTGTCTCTCTCTGCCCCTCCCCACTCACATTGTCTTTCCCTCTCTCTCTCTCTCTCTCTCTCTCAATAAATAAACATTAAAAAATTAAAAATAAAGATAAGCACAAACAAACCTGAAGAATACGGGTTTTCTGTTGATTATTCGTCATTCTTCTGGACTTGGTCCTTTCCACTTCATGCCTGTGAACCCATCCTCGAAGCTCATGATTTAACCTATAAAATAATGTAGTTAATTAAACATACTTCCTAGAAACAAACGTCTCACTCTTGGTCGAAAATGAATTTAGGGGCGCCTGGGTGGCACAGTCGGTTAAGCGTCCGACTTCAGCCAGGTCACGATCTCGTGGTCCGTGAGTTCGAGCCCCACGTCGGGCTCTGGGCTGATGGCTCAGAGCCTGGAGCCTGTTTCCGATTCTGTGTCTCCCTCTCTCTCTGCCCCTGCCCCGTTCATGCTCTGTCTCTCTCTGTCCCAAAAATAAATAAACGTTGAAAAAAAAAAAAATTAAAAAAGAAAATGAATTTAATCCTATTCTACAGGTTCCAAATAGCACCCCGAGTGCCTAATGATTCAATGCTGCTTTTTGACTGGAAAAAGCTGAGACACTAATGTCCAGTTCGTTTTGACACGACATGGATTTTTATACAGTAGCCTCTTCGATCATGAGTTCAAAATTAAAAACAAAAAACAAAAACAGCCAAATACCTTCCGAATGTAAATACTGGATGCACAAGTTTTTTCACAAAGAGAGTATTTCCTACTTCTGCCCTTGGGCCACATACACACCAACAATGGCGATGCTGGAGAGCATTTAACAAATAGGTGCGTGAAAGCCTTTGAAAATCACTCTCTTTGGGGAGAAGGAAAAGAATGAACTCAATTAAAAAGGAAAAAATAGTGGGGGGAGAAATAAATTTCAGTGCACTGTAACCCAAAATGCCCAACACTGGGAATATAAAAGGGCTAGTTATACCTCTAGAATCGCCGCTCTTCAAACAGTTATCTTCCTAACTTGAAGAAAAAGGTGCTGTCAATGTTACCACCCTCAAGTCTAACATCCTGAATTTTTATATTAAGGTCGTTCTGTAGTTCTCAGATAAGGCATATACTTCAATAGGCAACCCCAATACCCTCACCCGAAGCAGACCCATCACCATCTTCAGCAGGTTGGTGGGGGAACTGGACAGCAACTGATACGCCCATGGTCATCCGGCAAATAAGCAGAGGTCCTCTCAGCCACTTAGCTAATCTGCACGAATAGTTTTCCCGGTTTCAAAGCCGAGCCCAGGAGCCCACTCAGATATTTCTGCAACAGTCTACAACACTCACCTGAGAGATTCTGTGGTGTTAATCAGGGGCTGACAAGGAGGGGGAGGGATATAGAGGAGTGGCTCTTCGCTGAGCACCATCAGGGCCTTGTCATTCGAAACAGAATGATCGTATCTGGAAAACATAAGCACAAAATACATCTCCTTGTGTCTTAAATTCCTAAGTCGTTTGCTATAAGAAAATCATCACTAGCATTAACGTTTTATGGAAATAAAAATATACGGAGCATTTACTACGTACCAAAAACTAAGGACACGATGGTAACACATGGCCCACAGAGCTGCCGGAACACAGGTGACACAGTAAGGGGGGAAGCAGGGGCACAGACCCACTGACAGGAAAGACAGTACCACGTGACCAGGACTCAAGTTTCATGGTCATTCACAATTCTATGACGACAAAACTGAAGTCTCCCTAAAACCGTGTGTGACAGGGGCAAGGAGAGGCATCAACACCTGCAGGCGGTGAAGTGAAAGTGTTGAAAAGTTGAATATAAATTTTAGAGTCCTGGGGGCGCCTGGGCGGCTCAGTTGGTTAAAACGTCCGACTCTTGATTTCAGCTCAGGTCATGCTCTCATGGCTCGTGGGATCGAGCCCCACGTTGGGCTCTGTGCCGTCAGCGCGGAACCTGCTTGGGATTTCTCTCTCCCTCTCTCTTTCTGCTCCACCCCTGCTCACATGTGTGCTTTCTCTAAGTAAATAAACATTTAAAAAATGTTTAAATCATGAAAAAACCTGAATCGCTAATAAAACACCAAAGTAAAGTTAACCAGTCACTCCATTAGCTTCAAAGATCCACTTTCCTAACCGTCACGCTGATCTACACCACGGGAGCTGATATCCAGGGTGTGATGGAGGGAGCACAACCGAGGCTGGACATCAGAAGCCGAGCTGCGGGCATCACTGCTATTTATTCTCACTCTGCTACCTTCACCTTTCTCACTCAAAACTCTTAGATCGGTCTTAAATTTCTTTACACTCAATGCTCTAGATTTAGAAAACTTGGTATGCTAAAACTCAGAAAGAAAAAATATAAAAACAAAATTAGACACGGCTAGACTCACAGTTTTCATTAACTCATCGAACCACTATTTACTGCATACCAACCGTGTGCCAGGTACTGCGCTAGGAACCCAACAGGGAACGAGAAAAATGAAGTCTCTGTCCTCAAAGACCTTAAGGGGGAAGAAGGACCAACTATAAATGAACAAACACATAAAATAAATTCAAAGAAAGAATCTACGTAGCAAGAGAAAACCTGTGGCAGTGGCTATTTTAGATGAAATGGTCTGAGGAGATGGTATTTAAGTCAAGGCCTAAAGGAAAAGGGGGAGGCACTACTATAGAAACTGGGGAAACAGTGTTCTCGACAGAGGCAGGTGGGGAGAAGGTGGCCGTCAGGAACTCAAAGAAGGACTACACACCAGCTGAAGAGTTGTGAGCAAGTGAGGGAGGCACAAGACAAGCTCAGGAAGACTGCCTGGATCCTAACAAGGAATTACTGGAACATAACGAGAGGCTCACAGAAGGAGAGAGGTGATAGGGTTCAGTTTACGCTTGCACCCCGCCACTGTACCAAAACTGGATTCGAAGGAGATCAAAGCGGAAACCGGGAGGCCGGCCAAGAGGCAGCTATCATCCAGGCAAGAGCTGCGACAGCACGACTTACGTGCTGGCAGTGAGACGGAGGGGAGCAAACCAATGCAAGATACTTTTTGGAAAGGTATCAATGGCACCTGTTGAAAGGGAGGAATCAGCGTTTCCGGCAGAAGCAACGACGGAAGGAGGAAGACTGTTGTAGAGAAGGGGCTGGAAGATGAACAAGAAGACAGACGCAGGGGTCCACCGTACACGTGTTAAGTCTGACATGTTAAAAAAAAAAAAAAAAGAGATGTCAAGCAAACTACTGGGTGGAGGAGTCTGGAGACTCAGAAGGGAAGTCTGGGTGGGAAACACAAATTTGGGAGTTGTCAGGATATGGAGATATGGGCTGTGCGCTAAATTACGGACGAGTCACAGAGGCAGAAAGAAAACTAAAATACGCACAGTTCCAGAGGATGAGGTTTGGATGGAGGAGGAGCCCAGAAAGAGGACTGAAGCAGAGGTCTGTGAAAACAATGGAAACTGAAACCTGGAGCGACACAAGGAAGAAGGTCCCCAGGAAGGAGGGACCCCACGGCTGGACGTGGAGGAAAGACCAAGATGAAGACAGAAGTTTCCGCTGAATCTGGCAACACTGAAATAACCGGCCTCTGTGACAAAAATAATTTTGGCAGAGTAGAAAACTAACTTCAAGAGATGAAAGTTACAGACTTCTATGTAAGCCACACACAACAGCTGAGGACATACAGATCATTCTTCCTGCAAGTGGCCCCAGAACATTCTCCACGTCCTCTCTTCTGCCTCTGGGAGTTAAAACGTTTGAATAACACAGAAATGGCAGCACACACAGGTAGTAACAGGTGGCACACACACCACCCTGAAATTAAATGTTGAGGGAGAAGGGAAGAAAACCTCTCCTTTGCACTTGATAAACTCTAAATGCCTACAAGAGGAGGCTGTCTCCTAGACTCAAAGCAAACAAAAAATACCACTACCACCACCACAGACCTGTCTCGTGTGCCTTAGGTTAAAAAATCAGGTCTTCATACTTAGGAAAATATAACTGCTGCTGTCCATCACAGAAGTCTAAAATTACTTTTGAAAATATATTTTTTATTTATAATTTTATTTCTATGTGATAAACGCTAGTATAATGACTTCTGCACATCTGTGCTCACTGGCTTTTTCTATCAGCCAAAAATATTCGTTGGAAAAGAGAAAAAAGTCTGATAGGAGAAATACCAGGAAAGGACCTGGGTGGAGCTGAAGGGAAAGGAAAAGGGAGAGTCTCAGCCAATATGCAATCTGGAGACAATCAGATCCACACTAATCCTGAGATGGCCAGCGTTCTAGGCTGCTTGCAAACAAATCATATTGATAGAAAGCATTTTAGCAAATAAATCACTACCGCAGAGGACAGTGCTAGGGAGGGAGAGTTAAGTGATCAAAGCAAAAAGATCACACTGGTGGACTGATACCTATTTCAATTTCCCAAGCTGCTCAATAATAATCTTAGATATTTCAAGAGATTTGCATGTAGCCAAGAATCCATAATCTTGTCCATTTTGTTGTTGTTGTTGTTGTTGTTACCACCACCAGTAAGCCGAAACAGGCCATGGTGACTTTGGGGCGGGCAACAGTGGACGGCTTGCATCTCATATACTACTTTGAAAGTTGACAAATTATAGCCTGAAGGTCATTCAAATATCTGGGTCGAACTAGGATCATCAGAGCACCGTGTTTTCCACGTCACCTTACTCTACCACAGACAGATTGATGAAGGTTTCTACTTGTTGTGGTTAGTTCAACATAAATAATATTCTAGTAAAGGCTATCTGAACTTCACTGCAAGTATGCAATCAAGAACTCGTTCTACTGTTTTTTTTTTTAATTTTTTTTTTTTTCCAACGTTTATTTATTTTTGGGACAGAGAGAGACAGAGCATGAACGGGGGAGGGGCAGAGAGAGAGGGAGACACAGAATCGGAAACAGGCTCCAGGCTCCGAGCCATCAGCCCAGAGCCCGACGCGGGGCTCGAACTCACGGACCGCGAGATCGTGACCTGGCTGAAGTCGGACGCTTGACCGACTGCGCCACCCAGGCGCCCCAGAACTCGTTCTACTTTTTAACGGCCTGCAATACGTAGCTGAAGGGCACAGTCTGCACTCTCATAAACCCGAAGACTATCAAATTTAGAACGTAACTTCTGACAGATCTCACGTGGACAACAGAGCTCAAAATTACACGTAGAACATGTAGGGCAAACTTGGACAAATTACTTAGTAAAATTAAAGATACTACTAAACTCTAGCGAGATTTAAAGACACTGTTAAGTGAGTACTAAGATCACTATGTCCGAAGTACGGCTGATTTGGGCATGAGAGAAAAAGCAAGAGACGTCATAGAATATCTTCCCACATTATAGCACCTGTCACGGGTGCTGCATCACACTAACTGACAAGGAACTCTCTGGATTCTCCGCCACACTTAACATCGTACTTTACACATTGCAGATTCCTAAAACAATGAACACTAGCATTTTTTCCTAGGAAGGCTAAATGGACACAAGCCCACAGGACTATGGTAATAATTTCATTCAATGGTTTGGCTGTCACAGTAAAAGTTTAAAAAAAAAAAAAAAAAAGATTCCCTGATGGCTCTTGGCCTGTAGAGCATCACAGAGTTACAAGTACACAGATCTCTAAGGGTCCTAAAGCATTACACTTTGGCAGCAATGGCTGCCACACTGGGATGTCCCTTGGTTCTGTTAATCAAGGACCCAGCTCCACTTGGCTCTAGTAACACAGGGAAAGGTTTATCAAAAAGTATACAGCTTTGAAAACGTCCATGACGACCTTCTTCTACTTTACATAACACAGACCTTGTGTTTTCAAAAAAGTTCAAGCCTTTTACTATTTGACAGGCTATAGAGAAATTTACTAAGACAATATTAAACTGTAACAGGGGAGGGAGATCCAACAAAGGTCACAATAAACAAGTATAAACGATGTGATCTGATGACTGCACGCAGGTTCAATCATAATCATTCCACCATATCATGTTCATCACAGGACAATACTATTAGATACATTATATGTGTAATCATATGATAATAAAAAGCTGTATTAGAAACATTATATGTAATATAATGTCTGTTTACCATATGTGCCTCAATATGTATATTAGTGAACATAAACTGAGATTTTAAGGTCACATCTCTACAAGAATTTCAAAACTTCTCAAGGTTTCAAAAAGTAAATGTATTCTCGGAACTGATCTTAACAGTAAAATTCATTAAGGGCCTCAATAACTTGTCTGTTCTAATAAAAACTGTGCATAAACTAGTAAATGTAAAGTTACACTATATAATTCTCTACAGCAGTTTCATTAAATCATCTTAACAGAGACATGCCATCTTCTAACCTGTAGCTGTTTTTCTGGATGATACCATCTGATGTGTCTTGCACCTCTTTAGCAGAAAATTCTAGAAGATGCCTCCTCTGATTTGCAGGGCTCACACCAGGATTCTTTCTCCTGGAATCCTGTTCCAGCATGCTGAAAATTGTAAAAAGTGAAACAATAATTGAAACAAAAGTAAGTCACACATATGCAAGCGACATTAGCTCTAAAACAAACCACGATTCCCTCACAGATCCACGCACTCAGCACGAACACTAGGTGCAGAAACAAAACAGCATTATCTGTGGTCAGATTCCGCCGCCTGGCATCCTGTCTGTAGGCAAAACAATTTTAAGAATAATTTCTGTTAAATATAAAAAGCACCTCATTTTTTTTAAATTTTTTTTTTTAATGTTTATTTATTTTTGAGACAGAGAGAGACAGAGCATGAATGGGGGAGGGGCAGAGAGAGAGGGAGACACAGAATCGGAAACAGGCTCCAGGCTCTGAGCCATCAGCCCAGAGCCTGACGCGGGGCTCGAACTCACGGACCGCGAGATCGTGACCTGGCTGAAGTCGGACGCTTAACCGACTGCGCCACCCAGGCGCCCCTCACAGAAACAAATTTTAAACTCAGAGAGTAAACTGAAATAAGACGTCCTCCTGAAGGCGCCTGGGTGGCTCAGTCGGTTGGGCGACCAACTTCAGCTCAGGTCACGATCTCACAGTCCATGAATTCGAGCCCCGCGTCCGGCTCTGTGCTGACAGCTCAGGGCCTAGAGCCTGCTTCGGATTCTGTGTCTCCCTCTCTCTGCCCCTTCCCTGCTCATGCTCTGTCTCTCTCTGTCACAAAAATAAATAAAAACATTAAAAAAAAAAAAAAGTCCTCCTGGATGCTGCAAACTAATATTTTAATGAGGGAGTACTTCAAATGAGATGTGAGCTTTTCCCCTTATCCGCAGCCAATTCATTAGCCTTTTGCAATCCCAGATGGCGGGCTATCAGATAAAAGTAACAAAAAACTATTTTTAAAAATACTTCTATTTTTATTTACATGTAAAAATTTCCTATTTACTTCTTTCTCCCCATCTGCCCCAATGCCTTCATTCATCAACGTATGTGCTCTTGGTGGGTGTTAAGTATTTGCAACAACAACAAAAAATATATGTGTATATATATCTATATATAGATAGGTATATATATCTATATATAGACAGATATATATATCTATATATAGATATATATATACACACACACATAAAATATAAGTATATGTATGTAGAGATACATACACACACATATAAAGCAAATACTGCAATAGTTGTTAAACACGTTTAATGCATTAATCATGAGCTCAGAAATTTGGCTCACCAGTAAGATATTTTGTGTGTGCGCACTTTATTGTATAATGCCACGCACACAATTTACACTAGCTCTATAGTCCTCTTGAAATGAAACACAAAGGCAGTCTCCCTAGGGAAACACAAAAGAAGGGATGCCAGACTCTACTTAAAGGAAAGTAAGGCTGATGAAAGGGACACAATTAAGGGCCTGAGGTTCTAAGAGAAAAGGAGTTCTCCGGGGTATGGCAGTTTGCCTCCACATCTGGGGAAAGCAGTGTAGGGGGAAACAGGAAGCAGGTACACCTTTCTAGAATCTTCTTCTGAGCTCTTATTATATTTCCCAATCTCCTCAGTTCTTCCCCCCAGAGTCACTGCTGTCCAGTGGCCCTCACACAGCATGCCGTAGCACTTGGACGTCCTGTAAACTCTTCAAAGGTATACCACCAAATGAGATGCCTTGAGGAACATTTAGTTTTGCTACAGCCGAGGATACATTTTGTCCCCATTCCTATCTTTCAGACAGAATGTCGCCAGCAATCCCAACCCTGCTGCAAATAAGGGAAGAGAAAGGCCTAGTGGGGTAGCTAACTAAGGAAAACTTGGCTTGGTGAGTATTTAAGAAAACATGAGATCAGCAGTAAATGATAATTTTGTAGGGAAGACAAACACAGGGTGATGATAACTGCAGATTTTTTTTTCCTTTTTGCAACTTACTTTTTTGAAAAGGATTTTACTTCTAAATCTTTCAAATGTGGTGTCAAAAATTCGACTTAGGAACGTACGCTGTAAACAAAACAAAGTTAAGACCTTTCTCCTCAGTTTACAGAATCTCAGTTAATTTAACACCGACACTGTGTTAGGGACCCATCCACGTAATAACATCCCGGTTCGGGACAAGTTCGCCCTCAACCCCTCCAGAGACCGCCTTAACTACTCAAAGAGCTTAGTTTCCCCTTGTTTTAACTAGAAATGTGCTTCCTTCTAACTTTCCCCTCTGGGTGCTAGTTCTGGGCTCTGCGGCTATTCAGAAGAAGGCTAAAAAGATAAGCAAGCCTTCTTCCAATGTCCAAAGACACAGAACACCTCCCCGCAGGCTCTCTTTCTCAAGGTTGTGGTTTCTTCCCCACATTCTACTTTCCGGTACACAGTGTCAGGCCCCTCTCCTGTCAACACGCCCCTCGCGAGTGGTGTCCAGAACCGACCACAGTACTTCTCAGGTGTCATGACGAGTCAGGATGGAACAGATAATTCCTCCCCGCGTTCTAGATCATTCTTCTTCCACTGATGCGGTCTAATATCACATAGGCTTTTTTTGGCAATTACATCAGAAGTTATTTATACCGAGCCTGGTTTAATCAAAATCCCAACTCTCCTCACAAACTGATTTTGAACCATTCCCTTCTTTTCCCTTCCTCTCCCTCTTCCAATCCTAAATTTATATAATTGAGCTTTTCTGATCCCAGCAGAATGATTTACATCCACTCCTTTAAAAATATCATTCGGCCTACTAATCAGTCAAGAACTTCTAGGAGCCTAATTAGCAAAAGAAATTCTCCTTTTAAGCAAGGATCAGCATGCCATCAACATCCTCAACTGAACTGTTATTCAAATATTGAGAAGAGCAGAACAAAAAAATTGAGCCATGGTGCACGGCCCTAGAGAAAGCCTTATAAAAATTAAGTTTAACCATTTCTGAATTAATTCTATCACACAGTCCAAAATTTCCCATCTTGACCATACAGATGTCACAAGATTGTTAAATGTTCTTTTCTTCTAAGATGCAAATACAGTACGACAGCAGCTGCCATTTTCTGAGCACCTACTACGTATCAGGGAATGAACACGTAAGTACAAACTGAGGCTCAAAGGGTTTTAACAACTTGACCAAGGTCATGCTCTAAGTAATTAAAGAAGCCAAGACCTGGACTTAGGATTGGAACTACATTGCTGCATTATGTTGACGACATTTCTCAGAATGACGGATTCATTTATTTAACATGCATTAAATACCTATCATGTTCCAGGAACCATGTACGATGCTAAAGACTCAAAAATAAAAGAAAGGTAAAGATCAAATTGCAGTTTAATGTGTGGTGGTGAGGGGGAGGGGGAGGGCGGTATTGATACAGATAAAAGATAATAGAGTGATTAATGCCATAATAAGGTTAATGCTGAATGCTATGGCAGCATACAGCTAAGGTGCCTGATCTTTACTAAGAGGATCGCAAAGTTATCTTAAATGGAAAGCAGTAAACAAACAGGTGGAAAAGGCGGGGGGAGTGAAGGAAGACACTCGTATAGACGGAATGGTGTATGAAACAAGCACACGGGTAGAAGAGAACAGGGTATGCTCAGGGAACTAGAAGTCAAGCAGGAGAGGCTGTGAGGGTGGACACACGCATATGTAAGCACACAGCAAGAAGGGGTCTCAGAAACAGAGGAGAAAGAAAGGGGACCAGGACGATAATGTAAGGCTGGATTACAGATGGCCCTGCCTGCCACAGTATCACTGAGTCTAGCAACTTATTCAAGTAACAGAAACACAACTAGCATGTTTTTGGGGCGTCTGGGCGACTCCATCGGTTAAGCAGCTGACTCTTGGTTTCGGCTCAGGTCACGATCTCAAGGTTCGTGGGTTCGGGCCCCACTTTGGGCTCTGCACTGACAGTGTGGAGCCTGCTTGGGATTCTCTCCTCCTCTCCTTGCCCCTCCTCTGCTCGTTCTCGTTCTCTCTCTCAAAATAAATAAATAAACTTTAAAACAAATAATAAACTAGCAAGTTTTGTTCTTGTTTTAATTTTGGCTCTCAGGCATCATATCTCTTCCTTTTCTATTTATTTTTTTAAAGACTTTATTTATTTTTAAGATTTTTTTTTAAATAATCTCTACACCCAACATGGGGCTCGAACTTAACAATCCCAAGATAAACAGTCACATGCCCTACTGACTGGGCCAACCCGGGACCCCTTTCCTATCCCTTTCTACAGCGGAATCTTCCCTATGATTACTGTTCAATTCCCCGGTATGATTATCCCTTGTCTTTCACAAACTGGTATTACAATCATCTCCTAGTCACCTAGACTACTTAAAAAACAGCAGATTACCAGAACAGCTCCCCTGCTTCCCTACATCCTCGCTAAGGGGTGTAAGCCTTTAAAAAGGAGGCTCCCTCGATAACTCCCACAATTAACTCCCAAGCCAGAGCAGAGAGCGAGGGGGACAGAGGATCCAAAGCAGGCTCTGGGCTCACAGCAGACTCACAAACCGTGAGATCAAGACCTGAGCCGAAGTCGGGCGCTCAACTGACTGAGCCTCCCAGGTGCCCCTGATCATTGTTCTTTGGATGATTTGCACCAAAAGACGGGCAGGCGTTTCAATCGACAATTTACAGCTGTTACAAGCAAACGCCTTGCGTTTAGTTTAGTTTAGTTTATTTCACGTGTGGCTGGGCTGCGCCACAGTCACTTGGCAGCTGCACTTGCTGGACATCAGTTTGGACGGTGACTGGTCTGGCTCACAAGTGATCACTAGTTGTCACTACTGCCCACACAGGTAATGATTTCACAGGGTAATGACAATTTACCTGTCACGGAGCTACTCTAGTAACTTGCACCTTTTTTTAGCCTCATTTATTATCTACCCGTTGGACGAGAATGTATTTTGAAAGGCAATATATCAAGAAACTTTGTAAACAATCTTTTAAAATTTTTTATTTATTTGTTTTTGGCTGTTGTTGTCATTTGGCCTCCATTCCTCGTACACCTTTTTTTAACTCTTAAAATGAAATTTCTCGTAAGCTAAACTACAGGCAAG